ACAGGTTTTTTTGGCGAGTGCGAAAAGGGCTAAAAAGTTTGCTGCACCCTCCTAGTCAGCTGGCTGAAATACGGCTGCTGCAGTTTTGCCAAACTTTACAGGAAAAGCACAAACTATTCACTCTGAAAAAAGTGAACAGGGTTTGGTAGCTAATGCAGGGCTATTGGTCACCATTAACGAGCATAACTGATAAACTACAATCTGAGGTCTGTTAAGCAGCAGGTTACCTGACTAAATAACCAGCTAAAATCAGCACAGGGATGTGAAAAGATGAGCCTTCCTATCCTGAATAAACAATAAATTGGTCCTGATGAGCTGTTTGAATCCAACCTGCCTGAACATGATGGAGTTTCTTGATCCTACAGGTCTACCAATTATAAACCAGGGTGAGGCTACAAGCAAAGAACAAAGACACAGTCTGTTTGAGTAAAACAGGAAATAACATTTTTTGTATCCTAGTCAAGTTGGTTTAGGTGGTTATTTTTATTATTCCTTTAAAGCATCATTTTTAATTCACTCAGCCCGTCTTTATAATCTTTATAAAAACTGCTTTTATCATCCGAAACATGCAAGTGTGGCAAGAAACACATAACAAAAAGAAGAAAAAAAATGTAAAGGCGTAACTAATCAACCTCACAGCAAATCAAGAACTTTTTAACATTTATAGCAGGAAAAGAAATTGTTTCTCTGTCCCAGAGATGTTCTCCAAGCTGTGGTTTGGTTCTCATTCGCTAATATTCTGGTAGGAAGTCCAATAAGATCATTTAGAAACAGGTCTGTTCATATGTGTAAGAAATTCACTGTGGGAAGGAGAGTTATTGTAAAGTATGAAAGGTGCCAGTCCAGAAATAACCTTTAAACAACATTCTCTGTTCCTGCAGAGGGAAAATCTGAAGAGTAAATACAAAAATAAGCATAAAATCATCTGTCGTAGGCATTAAAACTTACCAGTGAATTTAGCATGTTTGTTTCCCCGTTTCCTTTGCATCATAATCAATATAGAAAATAAAAGATAAATACAAACTCAGTACTTTAATGCTGCGTTCACAAAGGACGCAGGAGAAGCAGCGAGTTTACATCCAAAGTCAATGGTTGACGCGCGTTAAGGCGCAGCAAAAGGTCCCGCAGCGCGTCTGACCAGCTGAAGCAGCGCGTCGGGCGCGTTTAAGCATCTGACGCTGCTGCTCGAGATGGAAAAATG